GACAGACCTTCCTCTTAGGGAAGTCTTCTGCCTCCCTGGGGCCTGGGTTAAGGACTTCACTAGGAAACTTCCTAGCGTGCTATGGACCTGTGGGTTCCATGTGGGTGGTGATGAAACCACAATGTGTAGTCCAAGGGCAATCAAAAGAGACTTCAGAGCTCAACTGGCAGATCCCCTAGTGTTGACTAACCAGGTGGCCTTTGCTAAATGTGTATCCCAATGTTTAAATGTCCCACCATCCATTGGTCTCAGTGTGATATAACCAATCTGCCAGGTCTCCCCATATTTATATTTCAGCCATGGTCCTCCGTACCAGAGAGGCTTTAACCACTTGGCTTGCTTGATTGCAGTGCATGTTTCACATTCATGGATAACCTGTGCAGTAGTGTCTATGGTCAAGTCCACCCCTTGATCATGAGTCCATCCATATGTTGCATCTCTTCCTTGATGGCCTGAGGTGTCATGGGCCCACCGAGCTAGAAATAATTCACCCTTATGTTGCCAGTCCAGATCCACTTAAGCCACTTAAGTCTTAGCAGCCTGATCTGCCTGCTGATTGTTTCGATGTTCGTCAGTGGCCCAGCTCTTGGGTACATGAGCATCTGTGTGATGTCATTTTACAACCAGGTTCTCCACCCGGGCAGCAATATCTTGCCACAATGCGGCAGCCCAGATGGGTTTGCCTCTGTGCTGCCAGTTGCTCTGCTTCCATTGCTGTACCCCCCCCCACAGGGCATTTGCCCCCATCCGTGAGTCAGTATAGAGATACAGCACTGGCCACTTTTTTCGGTCAGCAATATCTAAAGCCATCTGGATGGCTTTCACCTCTGCAAACTGACTTGATTCACCTTCTCTTTCAGCAGTTTTTGCAACTTGTCGTACAGGACTCCGTACAGCAGCCTTCCAGCTCCGATGCTTTCCTATGATACTACAGGACCCATCAGCGAACAGGGCATACTGCTTCTCATTTTCTGGTCGTTTATTATACAGTGGGGCCTCCTCAGCATGTGTCACCTCCTCCTCTGGCGATACTCTGAAATCTTTGCCTTCTGGCCAGTCCATGATCACTTCCAAGATTCCTGGGCAACTGGGGTTTCCTGTTCAAGCCTGTTGTGTGATTAGTGCGACCCACTTACTCCACCTAGCATCAGTTGCATGATGTGGAGAGGGGACCCTCCCTTTGAACATCCAGCCCAGCACCAGCAGTCGGGGTGCCAGGAGGAGCTGTGCTTCAGTACCAGCCACTTCCGAAGCAGCTTGAACCCCTTCATATGCTGCTAATATCTCTTTTTCAGTTGGAGTATAGCTGGCCTCAGATCCTCTGTATCCCTGACTCCAAAATCCTAAGGGTTGACCTCGAGTCTCCCCCGGTGCTTTCTGCCAGAGGCTCCAGGTAGGGCTTGTCTCCATGAGGTGGTACCCAAAGTACCGTAATGGCTTCAGTACAAAACCCAGATACCAGATAATGCTCAAGGCCAGTGTTTTAATAACAAATCTCCCAGGCAAAGCATCACTAGTCACTGCAGAGCACAGCAAACTGCAAAAACCAACACCGATCTCTAACACGTACAGCAAAAACGAGCATGGTGCAGATCAGGTAGACTAATGTCGACAACAGATGAATCAATATTGTGACCAGCAACTATTAACAGATACAAATTCCTTAATACACTCTGCTTAATCTGTTATTATCTCAAACCCTTCTTGCCCCACATTGTGCCCCAAAAAGGACTGTTGTGGTTTAACCCCAGCCAGCAACTAAGCACCACACAGCTGCTTGCTCACCCCCCCACCCTGGTGGGATGGGGCAGAGAACTGGAAGGGTAAAAGTGAGAAAACTCATGGGTTGAGATAAGAACAGTTTAATAATTGAAATAAAATAAAATAAAATAGTAGTAATAGTAGTAATAATAATAACAACAATAATATAATAGTAATAAACAAAGCAAATGTTGCACGATACAGTTGCTCATCACCAGCCAACCAATGCCCAGCCTGTCCCCAAGCAGCAATCGCTGTTCCTTGGCCAACTCCCCCCAGTTTATATACTAAGCATGACGTCATATAGTATGGAGTAGCTCTTTGGCCAGTCTGAATCAGGTGTCCTGGCTGTGCTCCCTCCCAGCTTCTACAGGTATGTCAGCCAGAAAATGAAAGTCAAAGAAAGTGTACACCCCCTCCCCACCCGCCCTGCCCTGAACACTACTGGCAAACTGGTAGCAACGGGCAAGGAGAAGGCTGAGGTACTCAACAACTCTTGCCTCATTCTTCACTGGCAACCTGTCTTCTCACACCTCTCAAGTGGATGGACCACAAGATGGGGACTGGAGGAGCAAAGTCCCTCCCACTGTAAGAGAAGATCAGATTCATGACGACCAGAGGAACCTGCACATACATAAGTCTGTGGGACCTGATGAGATGCATGCCGGAGTCCCGAGGGAGGTGGCTGATGTAGTTGCCAAGCCACTCTCCATGATATTTGAAAAGTCATGGCAGTGAGGAGAAGTCCCTGGTGACTGGAAAAAGGGAAGCATTGCACCCATTTTTAAGAAGGGTAGAAAGGAGGACCCTGGGAACTACTGACCTGTCAGCTGCACCTCTGTGCCCGGGAAGATCATGGAACAGATCCTTCTAGAAGCTATGCTAAGGCACATGGAGGACAGGGAAGTGATTTGAGACAGCCAGCATGGCTTCACCAAGGGCAAGTCTTGCCTGACCAACCTAGTGGCCTTCTATGATGGAGTGACTACATCAGTGGACAAGGGAAGAGCTACGGATGTCATGTATCTCGACTTCTGTAAGGCCTTTGACACGGTCCCCCACAATATCCTTCTCTCTAAATTGGAGAGATGTGGATTTGATGGGTAGAGTGTTTGGTGGATAAGGAATTGGTTGGATGGTCGCATCCAGAGAGTGGATGGCTCAATGTCCAGATGGAGATCACTGATAAGTGGTGTCCTTCAGGGGGGTGTATTGGGACTAGTGCTGTTCAGTATCTTCATCAATGACATAGCGGGATCAAGTGCATGCTCAGCAAGTTTGCAGATGACACCAAGCTGAGCGGTGCAGTAGACACGCCTGAGGGACAGGATGGCATCCAGAGGGACCTGGACAAGCTTGAGAAGTGGGCCCATGTGAGCCTCATGAGTTTCAGCAACGCCAAGTGCAAGGCCCTGCACCCAGGTCAGGGCAAACCCTGGTATCAACACAGGCTAGGGGATGAAGGGGTTGAGAGCAGCCCTGCAGAGAAGGATTTGGGGGTCCTGGTGGATGAAAAGCTGGACATGAGCCGACAATGTGCGCTTGCAGCCCAGAAGGCCAACCATATCCTGGGCTGCATCAAAAGAAGCGTGGCCAGCAGGTGGAGGGAGGTGAGTGACTTCCAGCCTTAAATAGTAATTGGGGAGGAATTCATGTTACACCTTCATCAGGTGTAAGCTTAGAGAAGGCGTTTGATTCTGCTGGCCTCCTTTGCTGGGTCATGAAGCCTGGTAAAACAAACAGTCCTTTTTATGTGTACTGGTGAAAAGATGCAGCTCCTTTGTGAGGGTTCAAGTTTGGTTTGTCTGTTTTGGACCAAACATCCAAACTGAAAGGATTAGCTTGGTAAAGAGATGGATGAGGAAACATGGAAATAAAATCTGAGCAGAAGAAGGAGAAGAAATGAGTGGACCAATGAGGGGAAAGGTTACACAAAGGTCTAAGACATCATTAACAGAAGAATAAAGTGACGCCAGGAAGCATGACTGGCATGTGAAGTGGATGACAGATTTTAATTATGCTGAGAATCACAAAGCTCAACCTCTCAGTAAATACTTAGCAGCTGAAACTACTGTTGCGGTTTATTTACTACTTGAACAACCCTGACAGTGAGCTACAGCTTTAAAAATGAACAAAAAAATAGTATTACTACAGCTACCTGTGGCACAAGTAGTTGCCAGTCCAGTTAAGCTGTCGAGATAAACACATTTTCACATGCTTAGTCGTTAAATAGGTAGGTATATGCATCTCAATTGCAGCATTTCATGAAAAAAGCTTACAAATATTAAGGAAAAAAAACTTCAGAAGATGGGGTTAGTTCATAGTAATAAATTCGTAACAGATTGGTTGTCCTTTTTTACATATATTGGGAGTGTCTGTCAGGAAGCAAGAAGAATGAATGTTTGTATCCAAGCAGTTTGTCTTAAAACATGATTTCAAATGTATCAGTACAGAAATGCTTCTACAGGATCATCCTTTATCTCCTCAGGATAGCGTTATGCAGTCTTTCTGGAGAATACGAGCATTCTGATACATGACATCTAACACAGTGTCACTTGAGCTGTTTTATGTGGTGCTCTGAAAGTGTGGACTGCATAAGCAAGTAAATAAGGCAAAATGCTTCCATGTGTAGGCTTAAAATTGCTACGCAAAGATCCAAAAATTATGGGGGAG